TGTGTGTGTGTGTGTGTGTGTGTGTGTGTGTGTGTGTGTGTGTGTGTTTGTTGTGCATCAGTGCCCTACTGTATATGTAAATGCAAAGTTGGAATACAGCTGTTAAAACTGAGAGTCAGCAGCACTGCAGAGGATCTGTGTCTAACAACACTGCTGCTGCAGTAGGTCCAAACTGATGCAACTCTAAACCCATCTGTGTTTAGTCTGTGCAAGACGCCCAAAACAGAGCAAACCACAGCTTAAAGGGATAGTTTGGAGTTTTTAAACAAGGCTTGGAAGGAGAAGGTTGGATTCTCTAGAGACATAAAAAGACGAAGCGTGTCTCGTTACATGTACAGAAGAACATTTTAAGACAAAAATACTCATGTTTTTTTCAAATATTCAAGTATTATGATGAATATGATGCTAATCTCAGTGATTGGTCTATAATTTAGGGCTGTTGCCAGTTTCATTTTTTTGTATACACACACGTTTGGGACAAGTGGTGAATTTAAGTTCACTGACAAAGTCCTGCAGCTGAAACACCTACTGGTGAAACTGATGTTTGGGCTGAACAGGCTGCTGCAAATCTTTACCTTCATTTTCAGAACCTATCGGATCTATTTGGAGGAGTAAAGTGAAGCTCACCGGTGACCATAGATTACACTTAATAATCCTTTCACAAAATAAGATACAGTAGCAGAAACATATGCTGGGATGCTCCCAGCTGTTTTTCTCTTTTTTATAAAGAGGGTGGGCAGTAGGTGTCTTGTTGAAAAAAGTGCCCTGACTGAAAAAGCACCGTTAGGAAAGAACTTGGCATGTCACTTTTCAGTGCTGGCGTAAGAAATAAGAAATAAAGTAATCTTGAGTTTGCACTAAATTCTTCAAACCCGTCTATTTAACCAGACTGATTATTTGAAGATCACTCCCCCATCCTAGTTACGTGTAGCATCGTGCATGATGATCGGTTATCTTATCTTAGGAAAATAATTACAACTGCTCCATGCAAACTGGTTGACATACAATAAATATAGTTTGTTTAAACTTTGAAAACAGTTTAGTTTTTTTAGACGGCAGAAATTTGTATTTGAACCTGTCATGTTCTGATTAACCGTTAGCTTAACTTTCCAGTGAAAATTCCTCTCTGATTCTCCAAAACGAGGTCCTTATGACCAGTTTCTAAGGCAAGAACTGTCTGCTACAGATCCACATCATTAAAATAAGCCTCACCTCTTTGCTGTTCTCACTGTAAAACACTCCCAGAATCAGTATATAGATGAGGGGGATGAAGAACGTGGAGTGTGTGTAGAACTTTTGCTCCTTCATGAACACATCGGCTCTGTCACAGAGGTAGAAGTAAGCCATTATAACACCCATCCTGCAGAGAGCCTGGAAAGGCGCCTTTGGTCCAAGGGGTACAACCGCAGTGGCTGGCTTCTTCTCCTCGAGACTCTCCACGTCGGGGGGAACATGTCGCCGGTGGCGATTGTTGCCAAGGACATGGAGGACCACAAACACCATGGCTGAGACCAGGAAAAAACAAGCTGAGAGTTTTTGGGAAAGGTTTAGGGGTGGCAATGTCTGGCAGCAGGAGCCATCGATGGGACGCAGTAGTTTGTTGCATATAGAGTTCATAAGGATCATGGCTCCCTGAAAGAACAGTTACAAAGGAAGATAAACAAGAAGATGAGTTTCAAAAAAACAAAAAATGGCACAGCTACTGCAGTAACTAACATACTACTCGAAGTAAAATGCCTGCCTACCACATTCCTGGTGCTCTCAGGCAGGTGTAAACCATCGTCTGACTGGGTGATGGTTTCCAGGGCAGCCTGGCGGGAAGCTGCCAGCAGCTTGACCCGAGATCTGCCGTTAAACTTGCTGCTGTTGAGCACGTTCATCGCTGCTTCGTTGTACAGCTCCAGCTGCTGGTTGGTGATCATCTTCCTGTTCTCACTCAGCATCTCCTCATTTACTGGGTCTGGAAAATGAAGGTCAAATCACACATTTTATATACATATACACGTCCATTTGGATCACAAGCAACACCTAAAACTCTTCCAGGCGTTTATCCATGTCTAGATCACACCATTATTATACAACGGGACAGCAGCTCTGAATGCACGTAAACTTTAAAACTAGTTAAATTATCTTCAGGCTAAATCTATTTCACAAGAATGCAGTTTGTGTACTTGAAATGTATCACAGTGAACTCAACAGGCAGCTATACTTCAGTCTAGGCCTGTCACGATAACAAATGTTGCTGGGTGATTAATTGTGTTAGAAATTTCCTGATGCATGCTCAATAATCCAGGTAGAAAAATCTAAAAAAGTTAAATCTGGTCCTCTGGACATTCAAAAAAACAAAACAAAGCAAAACAACAAAAAAATGTAGAAACGTTTCGTCTCTCATCCGAGAGACTTCCTCAGTCTGAGGTGCTGTATTCAGCTCAGTCTCTTAAATAGCACCTTCTCAGAGTGGATCAACCAGTTTTGCTGCTGACAACCAAAACCAGCTGATCACATGCTCAAGGAGGACCATCAGCCTAACAATGGATCATTAGCACACTGATGGCTGTTTACTGTTCACAGAGGGCTGAGTGATACTAGCAATCACAGCATTGTAAGAGGGGGACAGTTGAACCCGGAGGCCTCCACCCCTGTTTAATGATGGACGAGTTCTTTTCACAAAGATGGCCTCCTTTACTCCTCTCTCAAACCATCGTTCCTCTCTGTCCAGGATGTGAACATCTTCATCCCTGAAAGAGTGACCGCTGGCCTGGAGATGAGTGTAGACCGCAGAATCCTGGCCTGATGGTGTTGATCTTCTGTGCTGGGCCATCCTTTTGGCCAGTGGCTGTTTAGTTTCCCCGATGTAAGACTGATCACCCCCCTGACACTGAACAGCATACACAACATTACTCTGTTTGTGCCGGGGGACTGGATCTTTGGGATGAACCGGTCTTTGTCAAAGTCAAGTCAAAGTCACTTTATTGTCAAAAGCTGCAATATGTACAGGACATACACAGGATTGAAATGACATTTCTCTCAGACCCCGGTGCAACAATAACCATTTAACATTAAAACATTTATTAAACATAAGCATAAAATGTGCCGTAATGTGTTTTGGGGTTTAAAAGCCACTGGGACGTTGTGTTCAGAAAATAAACATCTCAAGTTTCTCTGATACTCCCTCAACATATGGAATGACCACTGGTCTGGGTCTGGGTTCCTCCTTTTCACCTGATGGCTGACTGGAGTCCTGTTTGGGTTTCTTCTCTGCTTTTAGGAAGGCCCAGTTAGGATATCCACATTGCTCTTTAACTTTGGAGCTTCAACAAGACGGAGGTTTTTTTCCCCGAGGTCAGCCTGTTAGCTTAGCTCGTAGCTTAGCTTCTCAGCTTAGTTGCTTTTAATGATCCAAACGCATGATTTTTGGACGGTTAAATGGATTTTCAAGAGAAAACAGAAAGGGAGGGGTCAGTGAAGAACACCGGAGTTGAGCTTTTTGTCATCCAGTGTCTTCAGAAAGAGAGAGACACCAAGAAACGATAAAGCTGATAGATGAAAATGAGGTTAATAATTTTCATTTATCGTGAGATTAATTGATTATTGTTTATCGCGACAGACCTACTTCAGTCCAAATGTCACCACAGACCGTGGTCGTGTTTCTAAAACAGGCCGTCTGTCTGGATCAGACCTCACCTTGCAGGACCCAGTACACCTCCCCATGGTCAGCCAGCCTGTCCAGGTGCACAGCGATGGCTGTCAGGTTGGTTCTGTACTGCTGAAGGGTCTCACTGCTGCCACTGTGCAACTTGATGGACCACTGTGGCAAACAGAGAAACACGTGAGATTAAGACATCTCAACTCAGTTTGTCGCTCGTTGATGTACAAGCATCGACGAGCGTTCTTTTATACAGCTTACCGTGGCAGCTCCGATGATAACGACATCTGGTTTTGTGGAAGCTTCCTGCAACACACAACGTAATGACGATTAAGTCCAAATTTTAGGAATTTCAACTTACTCAATAAGATATTTTTAATATATTCCCACAGAGAAAAAAAAATATATAACACAAATCAGAAGAGATTAAGGCCCATTTAAACTGGAACAAGTAACACCAATGAAAAATAAACTATGATATGATAAATGCATCCAGATACAACCCATCATGGTGTGTCATGATGTGCGGATGCTGCTGAGAACGCGCCATAAACAGCGAGACAGAAAGAACCACTGTGACGACAGAGACAATACAAAATGTAAAGATGCACCTCAAACTATAACAGAGCTTTGAGTAACATCAACACTCACATGAGTCCATAAGGTCACGCGCTCTTTCATGGAGTTATTCGCCTCTGGATACCAAAGAAAGTCCTACACGCAAAGAGGAAGAGCGGTTTGGGCTTTCATCAGTGAATGTTTCTGATCGCCGAGAACAAAAAAAATTAAAAGAGCACGTCTAAAAATAGCTCACCACTTTCAGAGAGGACCTCTTATCCTGAAAGAAAATGTCCTCGTGCTTCAGACAGTACATGTGGACGGAGAGAGAAATTAGGTTCGAAACAGCTGCACCTTATGCAACACCACTGAGGCATTTAGAGTAAACGGCAGACAATAGATGGAAGCAGCAAATTAAGAATGAAACGCACATTGTTTTCCAATTCAGCTGCGTACAGTACATGGTGAGACGTTAAAGACCTGCGGCCTGCAGCAGTTCGTTGTGATTACCTTGTTTCCATCTTCCGCTCGTTCGGGGTCAATAATTTTGACAAAGGAGTAAAACAGCTGCCTGATTCGTGAATCACCGACAAAGGCCACCCGTTTCTCTGTAAGGCATGTTTTGGCTTCACTGCAAGACAAATATATTGGTGATGGTGAAATTTTAAAAAAATCTAACTACTACTGTGAAACAAGGTGGTGACAGATGTCTGATTAAAAATTATTTGAAGTGAGGTTTTGTGAAGAGGTTAGAAATATTAATAATTTATCTGTCATAGTTTTTTTGAACAGCCTCTGTTGGGAGCACAGAGGGTGATTCTGATTGGACGAACAAGCCAAAGACTCTGTAGCCAAGACCACAGTGGATTACTTCCCATCTCAAACATTTCATAGCAAACGTTGACACCACCGTGAGTTTTGCTTTACATCATTATTCTGGAAAATGTACTGGGATTTTCCTGGCAAAGCATCCACAGGATGCTTCAGAAGTGTTACGCCCATCTGTCGCTGTTTCCAGTATTTGTGCTTGTAAATACAGTAACCAACAAATGCAAACTTGATGGCAGTGGGACGGTTCAGATAACACATTCTGCATGAACCTCTGCAAAACATTTCAGATTAGAGTTATTTAAAATGGCAGGAATCCACTTTTGTCTTGGCACAGCTCTGACTAGTCATTAGCTCATCAGGCCAGTCAGAAATCATTCGTGTATCTCCAAATGGAAGTTGCTCAAAGAGCTTTCTACAACAGGTAAGATAATGATTGTTAATAACCTTTCCACAAAACCTCACTTGTGTTCAGGCCCTAATGTAGAAAAAGCTAACTGTAATATCGTCACCACCAACAATTACAAACCTATTTTTATTTTACAAAACAGAGCTATAAGAATTATTAGTAGGAAGAGCTATGGTCACCCAACAAATATATTATTTCATCGTTTATTCATTCAAACTTTATCAATTCAAATTATAAAATTTTTATGATTTGGTTGAATATAGTATTTTACAAGTCATGTAGAAAGCTCATAAAACATTTTTCAGTCAGGTCATCCGGACAGTTTGACCTGACTGAAAAATGTTGGATTGAAGTGAAGAGTTTCTGTGATAAAACTCACCACCGTCACCAAGTCCTGTAAGGTTAAAGGACAACATTTCTGCGATGTGCTGTCAAACTGATCAAGTACCTTAAAATAAGTATTTTACATAATGTCTTCTCAGGAAGGTCACTCCCCAGCTATTCACTACAAAAGGTTTGAATAAACGTGTCACTCAAACATGTAAAAAAGGACAATTTTCCTAAAAAAGTTATAATCAACCATCTTATTTAAGCAAACTTCTGATATCCACTGTTAAAAGTGAGAAGATCTGATGTAGTTTTAAGAAATAAATATGCAAAAACAAAACCTTTTAGGATTTGAGATCTGTATGCTCATCATAAATCCTCCATTTGCTCCCGCAGCCTGAGACTCACCCATAGTTTCGTTTCAACACATTGTGTAGCAGCAGCGGCATGAGAACAAAATGACTCACATGCTTTTGTACTTGTGCATCATACAGCCGTAGGGCTGCCATACATTCTCTCCCAAGTAGCGTCCTCTGGTCAGCAGCCATTCACATGAGTCTCCGCCTGGAGGCAGACACAGAGAACCTACCAGTGAGTCCTAACAACAACATTAAAAAACTCCCATCTTCCTTTCACTTGTGTTTTCGTCTGACTAGAAGAGAAACCTGCTGTGTAGATGGCACTCCAGCATTTCATTCAGTGCGCTGCTGTGAAAGGACTAAACAATACTCGGCTCAGCCGGGGGCCGCGGCACGAAATGAAGCCATCAGCAATTTCACTCAATATAATTCACTCCAGCTATTCAGCTGTGTGCAAAATGAATGGAGCCATCTGCAGCCGAGCCGGTGCACAGAAACAGGTGAAGATGAGCGGTTTGCAGACGTGTCAACTCCCACAGCAAACAGCTGCTAAATGTGCACACAGGGTGTGTGTGTTCATCTCGTTCCTGTTTTAATAAACTGGCAGGTTTCTGCAAACCTTCAGAAAAAATAAACATCCTTCAATTATGTTTAACTTCAGCGCCTTTTCACTGTTAACTAAACTAATATGGGAAGGGTTAATGAGAACAAATAAACAGAGTGAAATGTATTTCAGTCATCTGTCCTCTTCTGCAATACTGTCAGATAAACGTTCATGCTTCGTTTGCAACCATTATACAGTAAAAACTAACTTTATGACTAATTCAAGAAGAAAAAAGAAGCACATTTATTGCAATTTTTTTTGCACATTTCTGCTAGTCTTCTTTTAGTAAAAATAAATCATCCTGTTTAGTGTTTAAAGTTTAGTTTCAGTGTAAAATGAGCTTTCAGTTTGTTACAAAAGGCCCATTTCACACAATGAAAAAGGAGGGAAGGCACAAATATAGTAACGAGAACTGTTTCTACAACTGTGTGTGCTGGTTGTTCTGTAAAAATTTTATTTCCTAAACAGAATAAAGACTTCATTAATACAGATACTTCCTCTACGCTTTAAATGTCACTTCCCCCGTGGGATAAAAGATTACTGAGAAATAGGCTCATTGTACACAAATTAAAAAATTAAAAAAGCTTTCACTTTGTATTTCAACAGAAACTGCAATATTTTATCCTAAAATAAAATAACATTGACAGGTAAAATCTTTATAGAAGCATTTGATCACATTTTCATGGCAATTTGTTCCACAAACTAAACTTTAAATTCCACAATTTTAAGTTAAAAATGACAACAGATGCATTTTCTGCAGAGATTATATAATAATTAACTTATCAATCAGTTCAAGGTCCAGACTAAAACAAGCTTTAATGTATAAAATATCACCTACACATAAACTTTTACTGACACTCTTATTTTTATAGATAATATTTGATGTGGATAAAAGATTTAAACACTCTTCCTGAATAATGCTGAGTCTTCACCGCCCTGAATGCAACTATTAATTTAAAGAATTATTTGTTAAATACACGCTTCGTCACAAACATTATAAGTGTTTAAATTTAAACGTTAACATTTAAATGTTAAGAAGATGTCCCGAGTGGGTCGTTGTCTTTTCCTGATTTCTGAGAAGCACGTAAACACAACCTGATGAGTTAGCTTCCTTTAGCTAGCCGCTAATTGAACAAGTCGCTAGCGTTCCGTTCCTGCTGCTGGTTCGGCTGAATTCAGTTTTTACCACAATCTGCCTAATTCTTCTGATGCATGTCATCATTGTGAAGCCACACTGAACGAGCCGCAGTGCGACGACCAGCAGGGGAAGAGAAACACCGACGCTCGCAGACAGCTAGCCGCGTTAGCTCGTCGGCGCTCAGTTGAATAACGGTAACGCGCCCACCTCCATAGTAACGAAGAGCCGCGTGGAACAGGAGCAGCAGCGTCACGACCGACAGCGAGATCAGCTTGGCATTCCTGATGGTGAAATGGTGGTTTATTTCGCGTTTGCCCAGGCTGTAGGCCAGGAGCGCCATCTTTGCTCCTCCATGACAACAGGCAGCTGTGTGGTCCAGCGGCCGCGGAGCAGCACCACCTGTCCGCGCTGCCTCGGGAGACGCCGCCTCCTCGTCCTCCTCCATCACCGAGCAGGTCGCTGTTTGTCCTCCAAGTATCCGGTTGTAAACTTTTATAAACCCTTGAACCTTGAAACTAAACTTCAGGCTTCTTTGTTGTTGCTGAAGAGCGCCATTGGCAGTACTGTAACACGAACATACATTTATTCAAATGGAACAAATCATTCTAAAGACACTAATCACGTTCATACACTGATGGGACACACGTCAGAGACAATGAGGGGTTCATTGTCTTGCCCAGGGACACTTCGGCACGTGACTGCTGCTGGATTCGAACCCCCAACTCTCGCATTGGAGGAGGACTGCTCTAACCACTGAGCCACAGCCAAGTACAAACTAAATACTGGGTGTGGAGCATGTTTGCAACAATTTACTGTCAAGAGCCCAAAGCTTGTTGGGTTTGGTTGCACATGAGGTTTAGGTCATTTAAAACAAATTAAAAGTAGAGATTCTGCACGAATTGCAGGGAATTTATTGAGTTTTTAGCTAAAAAAAGCAGCAGAACACAAACTAAATGCCAAAACAAATCACTGTAAAGCTTTAGACTTAATATTGTTCAGATTTAATTTGATTGGCTTCTCAGTATAATCACTTTATGTATGTATATAATAATGAAAAGCGTACAAGGCGTGACATAATAATTTATGTGGCTTTAGTTGAGCAAGTGTTGCGTAATTTGCAGATTCATGGTGGGCGTTTTCATCATATTATGAAGTCGTTTGTTCACAAGTTGAGGACGAACGTTCTGGCCGGCTAAGTGACGCCTAAAAAACTGAATTCAATTCACGGCACAGATCTATTTACTGTGGAAAATCTGGATAATTCTAAAGTTAGAAATGCTTTTGTGTTTTTTCTGTATTATTATAATATTAGCATTAAAATAAAATATATTAGTGGCAACTTTCTGAACAAACAGCTTGTTTTTCCATTTATCAGGCTGTACTTTATCAGGTCAACCTTCACTTCTAGGTCATTCTGAAGATATGTTGTCATAACATTTTGGGATTTAACCTTCAGTCTTTCATTCTGCCCTAAATTGTGTTACTCACTGTATTTACAGCAGAACCTCCAAAGGTTCAGCTCACCTGTGGACAGCTTTCTTCACGTCACGTATTTTCTCCTGACAGGATTCTGAACGCTGAGCATCAACGCTGCTGCTGCTCAGGCTTACGTTAAGATTCAGATAACAGCTGGAGTCCTGCACCAGACAAGAAGAGGACATAAAGCCCCTCCAAGAGACAGAAACAACCAGAAACTGGTCTCGTACATTTAGAGACAGAAGAGGAGATGCTTCAGAAGAGGAGATGCTTCCGTGGTGCTTCTTTTTAAAGTATCATCAAATTAAAAAAATGACCTTGTTGTTTTGTTTTTCTTTGTAAAAATGCCACAGTTTCATTGAACTTTTCACGTTTATGATGTTCCATTATGAATAAAGTAAGAGCTTACGAAATTTGCAAATCATCGCATTTGGTTTTTATTTACATTTTACATAATGTCTTCACTTTTTTATTTATAGAGCACAATTTAAAACAGATAGACTGTTATCAAAGTGCTTTGTTAATTAGCTGTTGTATATAATTTGAGGCCTGCACACTGCCCTCTGCTGGAGCATCGTTGCACTGCAGGCAGTCAAACGGCTTTTTTCAAAATGTCTTCTCCCATGAGAGTCGTCACATGTTTTTTTTTCTGGAAAATCTTTGCCAGTTTTAGAGAAGTTACAGTAAGAATAACATATAAATTGTTATTCACTTTTTTAAATTAATGCTTTATGTTTTGAGACAGTGCACAATTACCTAAAAATGTATTAATTTTATTGCAGTTAAATCGTGTTAAAATGTGTGTATCATGTTTGGTACTGCAGGTGTATAAGGTGCTTCATCACTGAACAGTCATGTAACATTTTTGTAAAGTAATCTATGTCAAACCTGCCACAATACAGCCACAAACTATTTTGTTTATATATTATAATTAAATGCAATTTCAAAATAATTCTTTTTTGGTTATTTCACTATAACAAATATTCTACAATAGTCTTAGTTATTTTCATCTTTATGGTGTATTGACCAGTTTTTTGTGTACTTTAGATGTCGAACAGGTTAGAGGAAGAGGAGAGAAAAAGAAAGTACATTGAAAATGTCATCAACATGGTAGTAGATGGGAATTCAAGTGACATTAGAGCAGCTAGGAGAAGATGATGAGGATGATGATGAGGACTGGACTCCCCAGGTTGTGCAAGATGAAGGAAGTTCAGATAGCAGTGATGAGGAAGAACATCAGGATCAAAGTGTAGCCCAGACAAGCACGGAAGCTGAGGTCCCAACAACAACACTGGACACAGTCAGAAATGAATCAGGGAAGGCCAATACAAAAAGTAAAGAATACAAATGGAGAAAAATAAAATATCAAGCTCCATCTGTCCATTTCATTGTCAGTCTTGAGGAAGGCACAGATAACAGGCGTGACATGACACCATACATGTACTTCAAGCAGTTTGTCACAGACTAAATGCTCCAGGAGATTGCAGAACAAACAAACATGTATAGTGTTCAAAAAGAGGGCAAGTCAATAAACACAACTGCAAAAGAGCTGGAGCAGGTTCATGTATTTGCATATGGGGCTCGTACAGATGTCCTGTGTGAGAGCCTGTTGATGGAAACAACACCTCCATAGTAACGAAGAGCCGCGTGGAACAGGAGCAGCAGCGGAGAAGTTGTGCTGAAGATTACATCTACACTTCCAGCAGGAAGGAATCACAAGGTCTTTGCCGATAACTACTTTACATGAGTTCCCCTGGTCCAACACCTAAAAGAGAGAGGAGTCCATTACATTGGCACAATCCGCATGAACAGGATGAAAGATTGCATCATGAGGGATGAAAAAGAATTGAAGAAGAGTGGAAGAGGGTCAGTGGACTTCAGAGTGAACCAGGACAACAACATAATTGTGAGATGGTGTGACAACAAAGCAGTGAAGCTGATTTCCTCATTTGTTGGCATTGAACCAGTGGGAAATGTGAAACGTTGGGATCGCCAATCCAAAACTCATATAATGGTTCCCAGACCAGCCATTGCTGAAACATATAAGTTCATGGGAGGTGTTGATCTCCTTCATATGCTTTCTGCACTTTACAAGTTCAGCTTCAGATCCTGAAGATGGTACATGTACATCTGGTGGCATTCGGTTACAGTAGCCGTCATCAATGCTTGGAACCTCGACAGAAGAGATCAGCTGAAGCTACAACCCCAAAAAACCCCATGGCTCTGCGAAGGTTCCAGGCTTCGGTTGGCACTTCTCTCACAAGTGCAGGAAAGGTCAAAATCAAGTGTGGTGGACCACTTTCCTCTCCAGAAGCAACTCCAACACCGCCCTGTAAAAGACCAAGCTGCAGCGTGCCTCTTCATGTGAGGAACGACGGCATTGATCATTTTCCAACGGGAAACCCGACAAAGATGCAAGCGCTGCACTGGCAATCACTTTTCACACGTCTACTGTAAAAAGTGTAAGGTCCATCTTTGCCTGAACAAGGACAGAAACTGTTTTGGTGCTTACCACGCTGTGAAATAAATGGTTGTAAAAAGTTGTATGTGAAAAAAAACCTAACAGAAACATTGACTGAAGTGTTCAATACTTTCTAAATGTTGTGGGCAAAAATTGTTTTTGTATTTACAACTCACAAGCCTGCCGTATCAAATGTGATACAAAAATTATATCATAAACAAAATGATATAGCAATATATTTTTTTGGACCATGTTTCAAAGTTTAATAAACATCTAAATTCTAAAAAATTTGAATTTTCTGATTATTTTTTGACGGGTCAGTTAAATGTAGAGGCTTGTAAATCTAGGCCATATTGCCATCTAGTGATTATACAATGTACTGCGGCCAACTTCAACCCCATCCATTCATCCATCCATCCATCCATCCATCCATGCATCCATCCATTATCTTTACCTGCTTCTTCCTTTTCAGGTCACGGTCATTGGTGTCCATGTCCAGCAATCACTGTGTGAGAGGCGGAGCCTGGACAGGTCTCCAGTCCATCACAGGGACACATGGAGACAAACAACCATTCACTCTCTCTCTCACCTAGAGACAATTTAAAGTTACCAGTCAGCCTAACATGCATGTTTTTGGTTTGTGGGAGGAAACTGGAGTATCTGGAGAAAACCATGCATGCACGGAGAGAACATGCAAACTCCACCCAGAAAGACCCCGGCCAGGATTTGCACCACGCTGCTGCCCCAACTTGAACTAATTTATGGAAATAAATATTTCCACAGATAGGTGGGCTGTAGGCAAATGTAAGCTTCATTGTTTTCATTATACATGAGCACAAATTATTGCATCTAATGCAGAAGTCATTGCAGCAGCACGGTGGCACAACTGGTAGAGCTGCCGCCTCTCAGCGAGCAGGTTACTGTGGTTCAAATCCTGGTCTGGGGGCCCGTCTGGGTGAAGTTTGCATGTTCTCTCTGTGCATGTGTGGGTTTTCTCTGGGTACTCCAGTTTCTTCCCACGGACCAAAAACATGCATGTTAGTCTGATTGGTGACTCTAAATTGTCCCTAGGTGTGAGTGAGAGAGTGAATGGTTGCTTGTCTTTATGTGTCCCTGTGATGGATTGGAGACCTGTCCAGGGTGTCCCCCGCCCTTTGCACAGTGATTGCTGGACATGGGTGCTGGCGAGCCCTGCGACCCTAAAAGGAAGACGCAGGTAAAGATGATGGATGGATGGATGGATGGATAGATGGATGGATGGATGGATGAATGGATGGATGGATCATTGACTATTTTGCACTCATTTTCTCAGTGCTTACCTTTTGACTACGTACTGGCAGATCATCACTCATTTACTGCCACAGACATCAGATGCCAGCATCAAGGCAACACCAACAATAAAACAACAAACACACTAAAACCATATTTGTGTGAATTGTTGCCACATAAATCAATACACAAATCCTAAATGATCCCAGAGTTATTGTTTTACCTGTGACACAGTGGCACATGGGAGTTTTATTTGTTAGCATCTTCAGTGCAGTTAGTTGTGCTGCAATGCTAATGCTAACTCATATAAAACAACAAGAAATAAAACATATTGCACTTCTGTAACACTGCTCCAGTGGACAGTGTCTGTTAAAATATATGTATGATCAAATTGCTGCTGTTTGTGTAAAGATACTGTCTAATTAGTTTGCGCTATCCTTCATCCTTCAGGGGAGCTGCAGCCCCTCTATTTCCCGCTCTAATGTGTGGAGGTGTTTTTAAAAGCTTTTAAACTATGAAAGTAACCACTGGATGTATGCACAACCGTTAGCTTTCAAAGACAACTGGATCCAAGATGTCTGCTACAGCTAATCCACCTTAGCTAACACAAAAATGCAGTTTTTTACATATGTTAAGATAAAAGTGGGTGTGGTAGTAGCTGAGAGTCATCTCTGTCACATAACCTTTGCATGCTAACAAATCGGTGAGTATATGTATTTATTCACAGAGGCCTAGATTTGATCTTAACTGCAGCTTGAACTAATTTAATCAACTTTGGCCTCTGGCATTTTGGACAAAGTGAATCAATAAACAGAAATAGCAGGAACGCCTGGTTTGCATACTGATTGTAACCACCGGTACTGCACTCATGCATCACTGTTCAAGCCTTGATCCAAACCCAGAAGTTTATTTGGATGCAAAAGCGATTTTACTCAAGAAAAAAAGCAACATGGGAGGATGCATATTTACAAGAAACAATGCACGTTAGTAATAACACATTGACATGGAGAGTGTAGACAAAAATGTACTTTACATCAGACTTTGATGCGCAGCTGAAAGTCAAGATAATGGGGGGAATCCTGTTATGTTGTGCTTCCACAATAGGAAGATGTTTAAGTCAATGCTGATGCACAAATCATCAGCAAAATTTAACAACAACAAAAAAAGAAAGTTACAGTGACCGTCTTTCAATGACATTATTAAAACATAAAAGTCACTGCATGTGTGGTGGGTTTTGGAACACTGGACATGCTTTATTTCAGAACTTTTCACAATTTATTTAAACATCTCACATATACAAAATAGGTACAATAGACTTTGTGGTGTCATTGTTGGAGAGAAAGAAAGGCCGGCTAAAAACAACTGGGAACTGGCGTCAGCATGAATGAACACTAAGAGTGGGACAGTAGGGGTCAACGAAGCCTGAAAACAACTTTTAGAAAAAGAAACAGAGGGTGAACAAAATAAAATAAAACAAAAACCAGACATGGGGTTTAGAAACATTCCACATGCTTAAAGTGGGGGAGTATCAGCAGGATAAATGCAAGACTCCTCAAAGGTCAATACAAAGTAATACAGTAAAAAGTGGTTTGATCCACAGCTGCATTTTAGCACCATTGATCTCTGCTTCAAGTAACTAAGCACCTTCCAAGCAGGACAAACCTTGAAGCTTTAAAAGTCTTAACATCTCGATTGTGGACTCGGGTTTTGTCAATAGTATTTTCTTTGAGCGCAGGCGTGAGGTAGTTCAAACCTTTTTTTCTTGGAAATTGTGGTTTTAAACCTCCTCTTTGGAAGATATACAAAGACCACAAAGTGATGCGTACTTTCAGCGTTTTTATTACACTTCTTTTATTTTTTACAAAAACGATGTCATGATGTCCCACAACAAGATGTTTTCCCGCGTCCCTTTGGGTGGCTGTATTAATTTGCATTGCGCAAAATCTCTGTTCAGTCCATTTAGTCCTCTCCGATAGTTGCCCATCTTAAGCAAGTGGATGCGCAGGGAGAAACCAGCATTTGGTACAAAAAAAAAACAACACGAAAGGAAGGGCAGAGATTTTGGTTTTTTTCTTGTTCTTTCTCTCTTTTTGGTGTTAATTTATCATGAGTCTATTTATTTGAAACAGACTGGGCCAATGTCCAAACCAAACTCCTGCTCAGCTCCACCAATGTCCAAAGGTGCAATGTCGAGGATGGGCAGGCGAGATGGTTTATTCGTTCTGTACTCAATCACTGTCTTGCTCCATTCACCAGTGTGTGTCTGTGAAATTAAAGCAAGAGAACATACACATCAGAATAATGTAGCAAAACATTCAAAACTAGAAAAACGTTTAGCTTTTACTATTAGCACTTTAACCAAGTGAGATTTAGTGTCCTATAAATCAATTTAGTTCTAGCTCACAATGTATGAATACAGAATGCAATACAACAAATATAAAAAAGAGGCAAAAATCTACTTACAGTGCAGCCATCCTCCAACACGGAGAAGGTGAAGCGGCTGTTGCCCTCGGCCCTGAGCTCCACATCGTTGGATCCTTGGAGCACCACAGCCTTCTTCAGGTTGCCGCTCTCACCATCCATGTAGGCAACGCTGTTCTTGCAGTGGTAGGTGATGTTCTGGCTGGCCTGGTTGGAAAGCAGGCGCATGAAAGCCAGCTGGGTGGCCATGCTCTGTGGGCTGAGGGTTTCATCGTTGTAGGTGAACTGCAAGACAAATAGGATCAGTCAGTGTTTTGAACGAAGACCAAATCAGACACTTATGTCAAAACGCGTGATATGTCTGGCCTCGCACCTCGGTACCACCGTTGATGGTCTCTCCGAACCAGACGTGCTTCTTGGCCTCTGTGCTTCTGTACCAGTTCTTCTGTGCAATGCTTGCAGGGTGGGCGTAGATGCAGGTCTCGCGGGTGGTAAAGTCACAGAAGACCTTGATGGCATCATTGAGACATCCCTGGTTGGGGTCAATCCAGTAGAATCCTAAGGAGCAGGAAGTTAAAAAATGTTTTTTTTTTGTTCTAGGCTGAGAAAATCAAAACATACAGCCAAAAGACAAATCTTACAAAATGTGAACATTTAAGTAACTTAAGCAACTGAGGTCAATCTTACCGCTGCTCCAGTCAGGATGGCTGAGCTTGATGTCGCGGCAGGTACGTGCGGGGTTCTTCCTGGATCCCTCAGGAGTAAGCAGGTTCTCGATCTGGGTATTGAGTGACTTGATGGTGGCATCAACTTCGTAGTCCTTGGCTCTCAGGGCGGGCTGATCAGCTCTGTACTCATCGTATCCTCCGGAGACATCGTATCCACCGCCAGCAGGGCCGGGAGGTCCAGGCAGACCAGGAGGTCCAGCAGGTCCCTATCATGGGTAAGACAGTAGATTAATTTGCAGATAAAGTAACAACTAGATATCCTAAAGGGACACAAGACTGGGGATTTACAAAATGATTTAAAAAAGGTAGAAGAAGTTTGGATGTAACTTAAAGCTTACCACTGGTCCAGAGTATCCAGGAGGTCCACGAGCACCAGGAGAACCAATAGAACCATGTCCACCAGCTCTACCATCCTTACCAGGGGGTCCATTAGGTCCAGCAGGTCCCTGAAGAAAAGATAATTAAATTACACACTCGAGTGCATTTCTATGGCAACTCAAAAGTATACCTACAAATGGTAAATGGACTGTACTTATATAGCGCCTTTCTATCTGATCAAGATCCTCAGAGCTCTTTAAACACAATCTGTGTCCTCATTTATTTTATTTTATTTCATTCATACAGCACTCTACTAGATCTATACAAAGAATAATCAGAGTTTTAGCACATTCATACACCGATGGGACACACAGCAGAGGCAATGAGGGGTTCAGTGTCTTGCTCAGGGACACTTCGGCAAGTGACTGCTGGTGGATTTGAACCCCCAACTCTCGCATTGGAGGACGACTGCTCTAACCACTCAGCCACAGCCGCCCCACATGTGACTGCTGGTGGAATCGAACCCCCAACTCTTGCATGAAGACAACTGCCCTAACTCGTCAGCCACAGCTGCCCCCACCAAATGTCAGCATGTTTTAGATTTGGTGCTTTTGAAACAGTTTTCACGAATCTGCTTCGTGCTGGACCATTTGTCCATCCGTTCTCTGATACTGTGACTGGAACCTGCCAACATGCTAACACTTCTAGCTGCTCAGTATGGTGCAGTTTTGTGTAGAGCGCAGGGTTGAAGAACTGATTCAGGATTTCACTCACTCTGGGTCCAGCAAGTCCAACGGCTCCAGCAACTCCGGTGTCACCAGCAGGTCCCTGGAGGAAAAGAAAACCATGAATAAGTGACACGGCAGTAGACGAGCGTCTCTGTCTGCTGCTGGTACAAATGATATGAAAGTGGTGGCAGATACACATTCATTGTGTTGGTGTGCAGCCACTTACAGAAGGTCCAGGCATTCCCTGGAGACCAGGATGTCCACGCAGACCCTTCATGCCTCTATCTCCCCTTTCTCCAGCAACTCCCTTCTCACCACGGGGTCCAGCAGATCCCTACAGCAATCAGACACACCAGTGAGACCATCATGTTGATGAAGCTGGCACGTACAGTACGGCATGTGGAAGTGGTGTTCTTCAATTATAGAACACTGTTCTACGGGACATTTATGTTACTGTGCTTGTTTTATTTATTTATTTCTGTACTTACAGGGGCACCTCTAGCTCCAGCAGCGCCAGCGGGTCCGGAGGGTCCTCCTGGGCCCTAGGGACAAAGAAAGTCAAGAAAAAAAAATGTGAGTGGATAAATGTTGATGTTGGTGATAAGAATTGAGAGATGGAAATAAGAATAATAATTACAGCCTCTCCACGGTTTCCAGGTCGGCCAGCAGCTCCAGTGGGTCCAGCAGGTCCAGGGGCACCTGCAAGTCCCAGAGAACCAGGAGATCCAGGCTCTCCACGATCTCCCTACGCATGACAAATAAGAGCATACGGAGGTCAGAACATGAGTATATGTTGATGTGCTCTGATCAAAACATGTTTCAAGACATATTAAAGGACATTACCTTGAATCCAGCGGCACCAGGACGACCAGGGGGTCCATCATTACCAGGGCTACCCTGTGTGTGACCAAAAACATCAGAATTAATAACAAACACTTCTGCTTATTGAAACCTAATATGTAAGAAAATGAATTTGGCTGTTTTGAATTTT